GGCGTCTGCCTCAACTCCCCCTTCCCAGTGGGCTTCAAGCCCTGCCCCTGTAACAGTCTCTGCTGTGACATGGGGACACGGGGAAGGAAGTCTGGTTCTAAAGCATCAGGGGCTGTCTGGGAATGGGTGTGGAGGTGGGGAGCCCCTGTGGTACAAAGGTACCACCCAAGGGGGTGGCTCACGTAGTCACTTCTGGTTTCATGTTTGTGGCCCCTGGGGACAGAGGATGAACTAGGACTGAGCTCCAAGGCCTCTCTTGTAACGGCCATGTTGAGGCAGGACGGTGGTGGTGTCCCACTAGCCCAGCATGCCCCTCGAGGCCCTGCATGTCCATCAGCCTGGGTGGGCACTGTTGAAGTGGCCCCGGGGTAAAAGCACAGCCCTCAGGCAGAGTACCTCTTCCCCTGCAGCTTGTGACCTGGCCAGGGGAGGACACTTAGAGCGCAGGATGGATGCCCAGTGGGCTGTGCTCAGGGAGAGGTCTGGAAGAGGTGGGGCCTGGGGCAGTGAAGACAGGCCAGGGAGGGGCGCCTCTACCCAGCTGAGCGTGTTGGTGAGGCTGCAGACCACCTGGAGAGGAGACAGGCTGCGGGCCGGCCTCATGGAGGACGTGTATCGTCAGCTCTCTGTCTCTCACTGTCTGGTTCCACAGCGTGCCATCAACCCTGGGCCCCAGCCAACCCCTCTGTCTCTGGATTGGCTCGTTCTGGATGTTTCCTATCATGAAGGCCCACACTCTGGCCTTTGGTGACTGGGTCTCTCACTGGGCATGATTGACAAGTGTCAGAGCCTTGCTGCTGTTGACACTGGTGTGATAGTTCGTGTGGTGGGCCATGCTGCTTGGGGATCAGTGTGTGGATCCTGGCCTGTGCCTTTTGGTTGCTGGGAGCCTTCTGTGTATAAGGCTGGGAGGGGTACTGTGTGCTCTTGGTGGTGGGGTTCCTGGTGTTGGGGTGCCGTGTTACTGTCTAGGCATGAGCTAAGGGAAGCCTCTGTGACTGGCTAGCGGCCTCATCCACCTGTGGGACATCGGCTCTCGTTATGTGTGCCTTCCTTGCCGGTGCCATGGTGGCTGTCGTTGATCACGGCTGGGGGACACCCAGGTCCATGAAGGACGACAGTCCTTGGGAGAAGCCTGGGCCTGCCGTGGCCCAGCTGCAGGCACGCTAGGGGCTGCCACCTAACGTGGGCTTTTGTGAAGCAACCCGTGTCCTCGTGGTCCTGGGGTGGAACCAGGTGTCACAGGCGAGTTCCCCATGGACAGGCATCTTCACCGTAGGCATGGTCAGCTGAGCAGTGTCCTCTGTTACAGGGAGATCCAGCTGCTGCGGCGGCTGCGGCACCGGAATGTGATTCAGCTGGTGGACGTGCTGTACAATGAGGAGAAGCAGAAGATATATCCTGAGGGGCGGAGCGGGGTGGGGCGGGCCCGTGTGTGGTAGGGGGGAAGCCCTTTAGAGCCAGGGCCTCTGACCGCAGCTCAGTTCTGCATGCTGTCCTGTGGGGCCTGGCGACTTAGCAGATGGGACAAGCAGGGCATGGAGCTCACATCTTGTGCCAGCCTGCTCTGGCCTCTGGCTGGAGCTGGGCCCATCTCAGGGGCCTGGAGCTCACACGCACTGCAGTGCCTTCTCTTGGTGCTCTCCCTGCTGTCCTTCCCGGGGCAGAGTCTGCACAGCCTGCTCTGCATCCGGGCGGCCCCGGGAGCACAGAGAGCCAAACGCCTGTAGTTGGCTGCACCCTGACTCCGGGCACCCCTTCCCCCTGCTGGGGCGAGTAGACTCGCCCATTCTGGTCCTGCTGTGTCCTTTGCTGACTCCATGTGGTCCAAGGCAGTGCAGATGTCTTCACTGCCTCAGTGGCCTCGGGCTCAGGCGTTCCAGACCGCTGCTGCTGCTGCTAGGGCTCCTGGGGCCTGGCACGTGCTGCTTTCCTTAGCGCCCTACGTATATGGTGATGGAGTACTGCGTGTGTGGCATGCAGGAGATGCTGGACAGTGTGCCGGAGAAGCGCTTCCCCGTGTGCCAGGCCCATGGGTGAGTGCCCTGCTGGGTGCAGGAGGGCAGCCAACACTTCCTGTGGCTCAGGACAGCCATTGGCAGGAAAATCCAGATGTTTCTGGGGCCCCAGTTTTCAGGCCAGCCAGTGTGCTTGCGGTCTCCCTCCTGTTAGGCCCTGTGGGCCCACTGCCCTGCAGAACCTGACCCTGTGGTCCCCCAGGCTCAGCAGTCACGGCCCCTGGTTGGCACAGAACCAAGGGAAGGAAGGGGAAGAGGGGAAGCCAGAGGGGAGGCTTGGCACCCTGCCCCTAGGAATCTGACAACAGTTGCCCTGTGTACTTCCCAGTGGGCTCAGGCCTTCTGACGATCAGATCTGTTTACCTGAACCCCAAACGCCTGTCCCCTTGTGGACCAGGCCTCGTGACTTCCCCACATTGCGTAGCAGGCTTGTGTGGGCACCGTGGTATGGGCTGAGACCCTGTGGGGCTGAGCCGGTCCCACCCATCCAGGTACTTCCGCCAGCTGATTGACGGCCTGGAGTACCTGCACAGCCAGGGCATTGTGCACAAGGACATCAAGCCGGGCAACCTGCTGCTCACCACCAACGGCACGCTCAAGATCTCCGACCTGGGTGTTGCCGAGGTAGGCACCGTGTGCAGGGCTCCTGGGCCGCTTCTCCTGAGCACCCCTGACTCTCGCTGCCCTGCAGGCCCTGCACCCCTTCGCTGTGGACGACACCTGCCGGACAAGCCAGGGCTCCCCGGCCTTCCAGCCGCCCGAGATCGCCAACGGACTCGACACCTTCTCAGGTTTCAAAGTGGACATCTGGTCAGCTGGGGTCACACTGTAAGTGGCCTGTACCCTGCAGCAGACGGGGAACTGCGTGTTTTCTCTAGTGTCCTTGGGTCTCTGTCCACAGGGTGTGGCCAGCAGGTTGGGCTTTCCAGGTCTGGTGTAGTCTCCCTCCACACCCCACCCACCCCACAGGCTTTGCTCCCTGTAGGGGCTGTGGCTGCACGTCTGCAGTTAACCCTTACCCTCTCTGGGAGTTGGGCACCTGGCCTCCAGTCTAGGCGTGCCATGCACTGACACTGTGCTCTTCTGTGAAGCTACAACATCACCACGGGTCTGTACCCATTCGAGGGAGACAACATCTACAAGCTGTTCGAGAACATCGGGAGAGGGGACTTCACCATCCCCTGTGACTGCGGCCCACCACTCTCCGACCTGCTCCGAGGTGGGCCTCTTCCTGGTGACAGGACATGCCAGGACAGTCGGGGCCAAAGACCCTGGTCTGGGGGTGCAGAGTCAGCTGGACTCTTTCAGCCCTAGGTGGCCAGAGGTGGCAGTGGGCTGCGGCCAGTGGCCTGACGTGACTGATAGAATAGCCCCTGCCAGCTGGAATGGGGGGTCTCTGGGACTCAGTGTCCCTGGGCTCTGCAGCAGGTGGCACAGGCCTCGGCTCTGGCCCCATCCAGGGGAGTCTCAGTGCTGTGCCTGGGCTGCAGCTGCGCCCTCACGGGCCTAGACGGGATGGGCGGTGGGCGGGGCTGCGGCACGGAGACGGCGGCGCCCCGCACTGACCCTCCCCTTACACAGGGATGCTGGAGTACGAGCCAGCCAAGCGGTTCTCCATCCGGCAGATCAGGCAGCACAGGTGAGGGGGGGGACCCCGCTGTCCACCTGCTGGGGTGCTGGGTGCTCACAGGACGGGGTGTGCACACCACCGCTGGCCCGAGGGGTGCGGGGTGAGCTTGGGGTGGGAGGGAGGCTGCTGGCTCTGCCCCCCCCCCCCCGGCCCTGCCCACTGCAGGCAGGGGTGAGAGCCCTCCTGGGAGGGGTGCAGGCGGCTGTGGGGCAGATCCTCCGTGGTGGAGGATGAGGCTGGAGTGGATGGGGAGAGCATGGCAGGCCTTGCCAGACGCCAAGGCGGTGGCCCTCTGGGCCCCAGCTGCCCTCTGGCCCAGTGGGGCCTGGCCGTGTGGGCTTGGGCACAGCCAGGGAAGCAGGAGGCGCGAGGCCGCGGAGCCTCTGTCCTGTTTACTCGCTCGGGCAGGCCCCGGGTCCGGGCGGGCGCCTGTGGGGCTCTGCCCGTCGGTCGTCCCCAGGCCAGTTGTCCCCTCCATGCGGGGCTGCGATTGGCTCTGCAGGCCTCCCCAGGGAGGGGCCCTGACTGTCCACCCCGTCCAAGGAGCCGTGGCTGCGAATGTAGAGCGCATGGCAGGACCCCTGGACCCCGCTGCTGAGACCTCAAGCCTATAGCCTAAGTGCTGAGGGCAGCGTGGTGTGGCCAGCTGTGGTCACCCAGCACCTGACACCTGACGGCTCCACTGCACCTGGGCTTTTGCAGCTGGTTCCGGAAGAAACACCCCCTGGCTGAGGCGCTAGTGCCCATCCCCCCGAGCCCAGACACTAAGGACCGTTGGCGCAGTATGACAGTGGTGCCCTACCTGGAGGACTTGCATGGCCATGCCGACGAGGACGAGGACGAGGACTTGTTTGACATTGAGGATGGCATCATCTACACGCAGGACTTCACGGTGCCTGGTGAGCTGGCTTGGCTTGGGTCACCCCGGAGCTGGCACCTTTGTGCTCTCTGGGGCTGGTCCTTTCCCCAAGGCTCTAGTCTGCCCTGACCACCAAACTGCCAAAGCCATCCTGGTGGCCGGCATTCTGCTCTGGGCTAGCTGAAGGGCTCCCCGGGCCCCGTCTACAGCTTCTTATGGCCTCGCTGGCTGCGTGTGGCAGGAGGAGGGCCCTGGAGGGCAGTGGGCAGGAGCCCTGAGACAGCAGCTGTGTGAGGGAGGGTCCAGTGGCCCTCGGCCCTGGCCATGCCTGACCTTGTACCGCCTTCTTCCCCAGGTGTCGAAGAGGCGGCCGAGGCAGGGCTTAGCGAGGATGCATGCGCCACATGCATGTGGAAGAGCCAGGGCGCAGGCCTCCCCGGAGAGGAGCCCGAGGAGGGGCTCGAGGCCTTAGTGTAGCTCCCCGGCTGCCGCCCGCCCATGTCCTCCATAAAGCCTTGTCCACTGTGTCTGCAGGTGGATGCTTGCCGCGACTGCCCTTCCCTGTCCCTGCCCTGCAGGCTCCCCAGGTCACAGCACACCAGGTCCAAGGCCTGGTGGCCTTAGGCCGGCCCTACTGAGAGGCAGCTCCTGGCCCTTCAGACAGTCGTGTGCGTGGGAGGGCGAGGCCCTTGGGGCCCTGGGTCGTCCCTGGAGCATTTGAGGGTTCTAGAAGCAGTGCCTGCTGGGTGCCAGCTGGGACCCTGGTGTCCAGGCTGGGCCCTGGCCACAGCCCTCCTAAGAGTGTCTCCTGCTCAGAGAGCAGGCCCTGCCCCTGGGGCCTTTGCCGGGAGTGTTTGCCACAGGCCGGGCCCTCAGGCAGGGCTGTCACCTGGCAGGGCTCCCCGTGGGCTCCTCGCTGGGGCCGTGTGCACCTAGAACGCTGACTCCATCTTGGGGACCCCTGGGGCTGCTGTAATTGAGGGGAGGCAAGGACACAGGGAGGGTCTGGGGACACTGCCTTGCGTCTGGGTGGCCATGGGGCCCATGTCCCCGGGACAGTGCGGTGCAGACAGTGCCGTGTACACGGCAGGACTGTGGATAGCCTGCACCTGGCGTGAGGGCTGTGCTCTGAACAAGGGCACGGGGGGCTGTGGGGAGGGGTTCCCTGCTGCAGGGTCCACCCCACCTCACGCCTCAGTCCAGCCCAGAGGGCCAGGGTGGGCACGGCCCGTTTGGGCCGAATCAGGTTGGGGAGGGACTCTGGATCCGGGAGCACAGGTCGGGCCTCTGTGGGGTTCCCGTCGCTGTACGCAAGCACCTGGTGGCCGTGTAGTCACCTGCTAGAGGCTGCCCGCTTCTGAGGAGCTGCAGGACAGGCGACCTCTGGCCACCGTGAAGGAAGGCCAGCAGAGCGAGCTAGGCCTGTAGCCCCCGCTGGACGGTCTCCCCATGCGCGCACAGCGAACCCCCGCTGAGCGCGTCCTCTCCTGGGCCTGCTGTGGGTCTAGAGCCCGGCTCACTTGGAGAGCTCTGAGCTGGTGCTTGGGCTGCCCAGGCTAGACAGGCAGGTGAGCATGGGCGTGCTGCAGGGGGGCCAGGGCACCACTGGAAAGGCTGGGCCTGGCCGGACAGGCCTCTGGAGCCACTGAGGCACGGCGCTGGAGGCCAGAAAGCACGGCCTGACCAGCCGCTGGCGCAGTCGGGGCTGGCCGGGCCCTGGGGCTTTAGGTCACTGTCCCTTGGCTCAAGCCATGCCTGCCATCTTCCCGCAGGACAGGTCCTAGAAGAGGAAGTAGGTCAGAATGGACAGAGCCGCAGCCTGCCCAAAGCAGTGTGTGTGAACGGCACAGAGCCCCAGCTCAGCAGCAAGGCGAAGCCAGAAGGCCGACCCGGCCCCGCCAACCCTGCTCGCAAGGCGTGCTCCAGCAACAAGATCCGCCGGCTCTCGGCCTGCAAGCAGCAGTGACTGCGGCCTGCAGGTGGGCGCAGGGCCAGGACCGCGAATCCCCGCTTGGCGCTCAGTGGGTGTCTGCCGGGCTCCTGGCTCCGCTCCTTGGGGCGGAGTTCCCCCGGTTCCATGGGGCGAGGTCAGGCGACTGAGGAGGCCACAGCCCTTAGAAGGAAGGGTCTGACCCCTCCGGGGTGGCGTGTACCTCCCTGCCAGGGCCGGGTGCTGAGTGACCCCTTCTACCTGCAGTGCGTCACCAGGTTCCCTGGGCAGGCGCCCCGGCAAGGCTGCGGTTTTCGGGCCCACCCATCTGGACACTCGGAGTTGGAGCCGAGGGTGGAGCCGCCGCCCCAGAAGCACTTTATGTCGAGACCACTGGCCGGCCTCGCCCGCATGCCGCCCCGCGAGCCTCGCTGTCTTTGGGTTGGCCCCTTTTTTTAATAAAACAGGTGGATTTGAGCAGTGGCTGTCGGGGTGTTTGGAGCAGGCGGGGTGCAGGGTGGCCTGCAGAGAAAACCCAGAGCACGCGAGTATGCAGAGACATTTATGATCAACCAGACAACACGACGACCCGTGGAGGGCGGGCGCAGGGCAGGGAGTGGGCGGGCACTCACGGCGAGGCCGCCCTATATTTTGGCAATAAATAAAGCTTGGGAAACTTGAAGCTGCCGCCTGGGCTGTTGTGTCCGTATGTCCAAAGCCCGCGGCTCTTGAGTGGGACAGGCGGGGCTGTGCGCATGCTGAGCGGGAGCAGCGGTTATTGCTCGGAGAGGGGATGGGTGCCGCGAGAGCACACGCCGTAGTGAGGTAAACGGATTCGGGGTGGGGCGGCCAGCTCCTCTGATCCTTAGTGCCCCGTGGTCCCTTCGCCTCCAGGAGGTTCACGCATGCGTACGGCCGGCAATGGCACCGCCAGCACGTGCTGACCAACGGAGGGAGCATGCGCTTCGGAGCAACCCGGCCTCCGGGTTGCTGTGGTCGGCCGAACAGGGACCGCAGAGTCCGAGCTCTTGGTCCTCCGTGCAGCCGCGCCAGGGTCCTGGGGCCTCGCCCCTGCGGAGGCCGCTGCGCCCACTAAGTGCCCGATGGGGCACCGCAGTGCGCAGTTGGGGGCGGGCCGCGTGCGCGTGCACGGCAGCCCCGGGTTCCCCCGCTGGCGCCCTCCCCGCAGCGGCCCCGCGTGCCCGGAGAAGCTGCCGAGAGGCGGATCGAGTACGGAGCTTAGGCCGGGCTGTGGTCAGGGGACGTGGGGGCAGCAGCAGCGACGATCAGCACCGGGGAGGAGGCAACGGGCTCGGCGAGGTGCGGAGCGAAGAGTCTGTCGTCGAGGCTGGCCGCCAGCTTGTCCAGCAGCGCCCCGGCGGGCTCCACACACAGCCCGGGGCCCAGGCAGCC